GAAGTGTGCAAGTCTTAAAGCTGTCAAGTTACAAGACCCTTGCATCCCTAGCCCTTTAGAAAACAAACCCAAGGGTGTTCAAATTTGAAAGCTTTAAGACTTGTGGACTTCAATTCCCAGAATTCCTCTTGACTCAGGAACTCTGGCATTGAAGTGTGCAAGTCTTAAAGCTGTCAAGTTACAAGACCCTTGCACCCCTAACCCGAAAAAATACACCAGGGGTGTTCAAACGTGACAGCTTTAAGACTTGTGGACTTCAATTCCCAGAATTCCTCTTGACTCAGGAACTCTGGCATTGAAGTGTGCAAGTCTTAAAGCTGTCAAGTTACAAGACCCTTGCACCCCTAACCCGAAAAAATACACCAGGGGTGTTCAAACGTGACAGCTTTAAGACTTGTGGACTTCAATTCCCAGCAGTCATGTTGACTCAGGAACTCTGGCATTGAAGTGTGCAAGTCTTAAAGCTGTCAAGTTACAAGACCCTTGCACCCCTAACCCTTTAGAAAAAAAGCCCAGGGGTGTTCAAACTTGACAGCTTTAAGACTTTTGGACTTCAACTCCCAGAATTCCTCCTCTCGCTCTTCACCTTGATGATGTGCAGACAGGCGGGGGGGAGGGAGCTGGAACCGGTTCTAAACAGCACCGTAGATTTGTGGAACCTCTTCTATAGAAGAGGTTAGAACTGGCAGGAACCTGCCCAGACAGATGCCCAAGTCCGGCCTCCCCAGCTGTCGGTCCTTTGAACCACATCCCAAGAAGCTGGCAAGGATGCTTGGTGAACCTCACACCAGGTTTAGCCATTATGGGTCCAGCCCCAGTTAAACTCACTGGCTGTCGGAGGGAAGAAGCCGCCATCATCCCAGTTCCCCTCGCTTTAAGGATTCCTGCAAGGAAGATGGAGGCCTAAAGGGAGGGAGGGGGAGGGGAGTTCCACCATCCACCTTCACAGGTTATCGATGAGCAGGCCGTCTTATTTATATCTTTCTGACAGAGCCCGGCTGGCTTTGAACAAGAGCCAAACGCTGCATTTCGCTAATGGGAAATCAGGGCTCCCCCCATCGGGTTATTAAAAGGAAAAAAAGGAAAGGAAAGAAAAAGGAAACGTATCTCTTAACTTTGACTGCTTTTCCCTAGACGATGAATCCCCCATGGGGCGTGAATTTCCCCAATGCCCTTTCGCAAAGAGCCCTCTGGAGCCTCTCCTCCTCCAACATCCCAAAGTCTTGGAACTGATATCAAGTCAGAGGGGAGGGGGGGGGGCAGGAACACCAGGGCTCCCAGCTCCCCTTTCTCTTAAGTGCCCCTGGATTGCGGCACATCCCAGCGGCCCCGTAAGGGATGCTGGGCTTGGCGGCAAT